TTGACTGAAAATTAATCTGAAAATGGACCAAAATTAAGAGGCCCAAACATATTGGGTAGTCCTTCTGCAGGCTGTTTATCTAATTGCTACATACTTCTCTCATTTCTTTTCCGTTTTATGAGTAAATGAAATTAATCAATGGGAACTAATTTTTATGAGATGTATAAAATGGAAATCTTCAATTTTTACCAAACATTTATCATTCCACACCGAACATAAAAAATAATATAAATGTAACTTTAATAGAGAATGACCAGAAAAGTCATCCTTTTCATTCATCGTGTTCTCCTTTTTACAAACGTTACAAAATAAACCTAAACCTAATTTAACCTAGCTAATGGGCTTTAGGCCTGGCAAGTATTTTAGTGACGTTCATACATCAATATATTTATAACACTCTCCTTTAAACATTATTATATGTCTCATTAAAGACCTTGTTAATAAAAATCCAGGGGAAAAAATTAGTTAAGGAAAGAAGAGTACATGATTTACATAAGTTCGTGTGCTTTACTAGTGCTTGACTAAAAGCCTTAAACTAATAAACTCAATGAAAAAAAACTTAGTAAAAGAAAAAAAAAGTACAACACGTGGTCTTTAAGCCCTAAATTTTCGAGATTATTTTGAGTTTGTACATTCTCCTGAAGACAATAGTCTTCCAAGTTTATGCATACTAATACAATAATTGTATCTTTCCAAAGTAGTTGTAGGAAGAAATTCGGTAAATAGGTATGCCAAATTATCGCGAGAAATCGAAAACATAAATAAGGCATTCGCACTAACAACCACCTTTGATTTTTAGTATTATAAAATAAACCACCTTTCGCGCCATAGAGTATTCGCGCCATAGAGTATCCCACATATAGCAAGAATTCAGAACGACTTTCCAATTATCAGTATCATCCTCCAACACGTGTGTTGAACTACCCAAAATCGAATATGTATCAGACTGGGCACGCTGTCCATAATTCACTAAGAATAGAACCTACGAATTTATGTGGAACCATGTTCACAACTTATGCTGCTATTTGTACAAAACCAAAACAAATAACGAGAATTCCTTGTAACTCATTACTAACACAACTATTTTTCTATAAGTGACTTTTTCATTCTTTCTGCTACATCGTTCTTTTGGTGTGAACACGGCGCAATCCTCTAGGATCGAATCTCAACATCCAATAAGTAATTTCTAGGTTTTCCTAAAAAGTATTAGTTACCACGATACGATTGCATTGCAGTGTCATTGATAAATTAACCTCTTCGTTTCTCCTCAACTGCCTTGTACTCTTTTGATTTTTTTTTTTTTTAAAAAAAAAAAAAAACTCAAGCTTATGGTCTATCACATGAATGTACCCTGTCTCCAATAGTTAAAAAAAAAATGCGAAACTACATTTTGTTCAAAAATTCATAGGACCGCACAAATTAGAATGAATCAATCCTAATATTTATTTGGTGCCTTCTAAAGGTTATTTTGATCATTTTAGCTACTAAGTAAAATTCGTAGGCTTGATAGTTTAAACCATGTACTTCTAATAGACTCAAAAGTCTATCGGTTATGCACCTTTGAATTATATAATAAAGCTAAAATTACCGAACTTTAGATGCTAAAAAAATGTATGGTTCATTTCTTAAAAGTTATTTTCTCTTATTAGTTTTAGGCGATGTGTTACATATTTCCATTTATTGCATTGTGACTTATTTTGGTTCCTTGAGTACAAAAATCGTCTACCAGCGCACCAAAATGTATAAAAAGTTTTATTTTCTAGAATTGCCATCAAATAAAACATATTATCCATACACAATTTAAAAACTGAAACTAAATTTTTCTAAAATAGGGCACGTAAAGACAATCTCTCAATACTATAATTTTATTCAGTAGAATACTCTTACTGCAATAGTCGCCACTTTTATAGCGGAAAAATCCATTCTAGATGTCAATCTACATATCACTCATTCAATCGGTTTCCCAGAACCTTTTAACAAAATTAGTGGTTCTGTATCTATTCACCTTGTATTGGCAGATAATACAACTAAAAATTCTTCGACTTCTTAGAGAATAAGATTTATCTTATGGTCTTAAGGATAAGACAATTCGTCTTCCTATGTTCATTTTCGCTTGAACCGGGTACACTTGCCTTTAGGCTCATACTTCCCAGCAATTTAGGACGCTATCAAGTTCTATTATCAAAATAATTTTTAACTAATCATTTACTTTCTTACTTTCTTTGAGAATAATGAATAACTGATTCAAGGATACATTTTAATATTCCTGAGAATCATTAAAAAAAAATTAGCTTATCAGCTAATTTTACCAAATATTTTTACCATATGAGCTAATTTTTCAGCTATAAGTCATAAGCTATAAGCTCGAAAATCACTTAGATACATTTTTAATTTTTTTTTTTCGAAACAATAGATAGTATTATAAATCAAAAGTGCACAAATGTGCGAATACAAACAACCAACGGCTTAAAAGAGGGAGGACAGGTCAGAAGACCGCCTGGAATCCCGACTAGCAACGCTAGAATAAAGAAAATCCAAATACACTAAACAACAACTAGAAAAGACCCAACAGGATAATATCGGGACCGTTTCAATTTGCCTTGCCATTTTTCTGCAGTCAAAATAAGGCTAATATAATATAGGTATGTCTTTGTGCTTTGTCTTGACTGGTTACCAACTTCTCAACCAAAACCAAGACAAAAAAACACACACTTGTTGAGCTCAAAAAAATCTAAAGGCACCAATAAATTGACACTGGTGATTTTAACGTTTACACGTGAGAACACCTTTATTATTATTTTTTTTTAACAATATTGTATATAAAAACAAAAAGATAAATAAAAATTGGGCAACTTTGACACGATTCTGAGGAGACACGATATTGATTGGCCCAATTTAATTGACTTGTTGTACATGTTTTTACTTTAGAGTCCAAAATACTACTCATCAGGAGAAGAAGTTCTCAGGGGCAAAATTGTCATTTGGGTCTTCGTCCTTTGGCAGATTGTGATCACCACCACCACTTGCTAGTCCAACTTCATCTTCCAACATTCTCAACCACTTTTCCAGTTCGCTTTCAACAACGTTTTCTTGATCACTCGTGATGGTGTCGAAAGATTCCCAGAAAGCGACGTCGAAACCCGAAGAATTCACGATTTTGCCACTATCGAAGTCGTCGACCTCGCGCCGGGGCTCGTTTATTTCTAGCTCGGGTTTTTCGTTAGGTTGGATTTCGAGCAAGCGGTTAATTTCTTCTTCGTCAATCCGTTGATAGTTAAGTAAATTTTCAAGATTTTCATCATCATTTGCTATGGAACTGCTTGACGTGCTTGATGAAGGATAATGAGCATCCATTTTATAATTACAAGGGCCTAATTTGGACATTTGTAGCCTTTTCTTCAAATGTGTGTTCCAAACGTTTTTTATCTCGTTGTCTGTTCTTCCAGGCAAACACGCTGCAATCTTGGACCACCTGTGCATTTCATGTCGAAATTATATAACATAGTTAATAATAGTTTTAAGGTAGTAATTATTAAGTTTGAATATGAAGTTGTAATATTTCATATAATCAAATTAAGTTAATTTAATTATTACTTGTTTCCAAAAGAGGTATGCAGTTGGATTATAGTCTGCTCTTCCTCGGGTGTGAAGTTTCCTCGTTTGATGTCGGGACTTAGATAATTAACCCACCGTAAACGACAACTCTTTCCGCATCGAAGTAGCCCTACAAACAAAAAATGACAAGCTAAATTATATATATAAGATTCAAAATATACTATCCATTTAATCAAACTTAACTCTGTTAATTCAATATAATTTATACAATTAAATAATATCAATCAATTACTATTACACGTATTTCAGTAAAATTCTGTTTACTATCAACATTATTACAATTCAACTCATCCACTCACAAACTCAGAATCAAAATTAAAATTTTCACTCATTTAATGTTTTTCAATCTTTAACTTCCTTTATATATTATAGTAAAAAAAGAAAAAAAAGAAAATAACATGATGATAAACACACATAGATTCATTAGAATTAAATAAATAAATAAATAAAAGTGATTGACCTGCTTGTTTAGGGAGAGCACGCCAGTTGGGGTGGCCGTGAGTTTTAATGAAGGTGACAAGTCTGAAATCTTCGGCGGGGCTCCATGGCCCCGTCCTCACCTTGCTCTTATCGCAACACGGTGCTCGCCCCTTGCCCATGTGTGTGTGTGCGCGCGCGCGTACGTAGTAAGAATATAATTATGTATATACTATGAGTACTCCATGCATGGGGGATTCTCTCTTCATCTATCTCCTTTGCCTTGTCCTTATATATAATGCAACAGAATCATGACAAGGGGGACAAGGGTTGGTATAATTAATTATAGTAATAATAATTAACTTAAGGTTGCTAATTAAGGCTGGCATTGTAATTTTGCCGGCCCTTTGTTTTTTTCTTTATTTTTTTTAGGAGGGACATCTTTTTTATTCCATTAAATAACTATGCTTTTTTTTAGTCAAATAACTTCTTTTTCTATCTCACAATTAACAAAAATGTTACATGATGTTATAATCGCATATTCAGATGGACCGTTTAAATTAATTTTTATGCGATATTTTGTCGCATATACAACAACACATATCCCACGGTACAAGAAAATAATGAAATGCAAATGGAAATATAATCCAATAAAATTATTCCGACGACAATTGCAATGGATATTCCAATACTATTATTTTTGTTGGAATTTTTCAATGGATTCTAACGGAAATTCCAACAAAATATTCTAGTGGAATGTTTTTTTTTTCTTTTTTTTTTTAAACAAACAACACCCCAGGAGGGTGGGGGGTTTCCGTTGGAATGAGTTTTCCATTGAATTTTGACGATTTCAACGGGTGGAAATAAAAATTTTAACGGAATTTGTATATTCCAACAGAAATTTCGACAGTAAATGGCCGTTGGAATCATCAAATTTCATCTAAAATTCCAACGAAAAACACATTGCAACGGAATATTTCCACTGGAATTTCCGTTGGAACCATTTCAACAGATACTATACCATTAGAATATCCGTTGAAATTTTTATTGGAATATAACAATTTTTTTGTAGTGTCTATATCAAATGCATAATTTATGATTATGCAATTTTTTTTTCATATTTAGTTACCGCTTATCTAAATCAAACCCTAATTTAGGATTATGTGATATTTTTTAAAATAGTTTACGACTCAAAAATCTATATTTCGCACCACAAATTTAAAAATTGCGTAAACTTTGTGCATGTGCATAAACTCATTTCAACATAAATAAAAGCATTAGATAATATTCATTGGAATCGCCGTTGAAATTCCATTGCAATATATTTTCCTTAGAAATTTTCATTAAAATTTCATCACATTCTTACATTGACGTACATGCAATTTATAATTATTGCTTAACACCCTTAATCAGGGGCGGATCTACATGTGGGCGAGCCTGGGCAATTGCCTAGGCTCAATTTTTTGTGCTAACTATACATATTTAATATGTTAATAAAAAAAATTATATTTTATATGTGTTAAAATATAAACAAGTTTCTATTTTAAAATTTTAAATATTCTTACAAAATAACATTATTTTTATTTAAAATGATACACCTCACTAGTCAGATTTAACGATATCATATCATAAAATTTTTAATACTTATACCATATAATAAGCTTGATAGGATATATTTATTGTATTTCACTCATAATGGTTAAATATTTAAATTTTTATTGATAGAGATCAGATAGATGTATTTTAATTTGTTTATAGAATATGAATGTCAAATTATACATTGACAAAATATGATTAATTTAAGTTATCATATATAGAAAATGATAATATATACCAATGTTATTAACATTTAAAATATATTTACAGCTTAAGTACCTAAACGTTTAAACTTGAAAGTTCTGGATAAAGATCCATATTTTATGTGGACTATTTCGATTCCTTAGAACCTAACATATAGAATTACAAAGCGTTGAGAATTGATAATGAAAAACTACATTTATATATAAGAAGATAATTCATAAAGAAATCTTAAAAAAATAACAATAACAAAAATGATGACATTTAAGATTCTCTTAAACTAATAAATTATATTTCAAAATTACTTGTTGATTTCTTATTACAAAATAATGAAAGATTGCAAAATATTTTTGTTATATTTATTAACAATAATAAAAACGCAAAATAAAATAATCAGACTACGTTCTCAATTTATTTTTTGGCATCAAGACAAAGTCAAATTGAAAAGGGAATCCCTCAACACTCAATTGTTCTAACGGTTTATTTAATTAATAATATAAATACTTTGTGCAATACAGTTAAAAAAAAAAAAAAATCAAACTATATTTTACCTAGGCTCATAAAATTTTCTGAATCCGCCATTGCCCTTAATTAAAGGGTTGGACTAGTATCATCAATTATAAAAAGCAGCGTGAACAGTAAAGCACGTGGAGTGTTTGACACACTATTTTGGACCATAATATAATTAAAATAAAAACAGGGGGTAAATACAAGCACAAATATATATATATATATCTATACTTATATTAAAGGGTATTATATTTACTAAATATAATAGCTAGAAAATCAAACTTAATTAATGAATTTATAATTTTATCAAGTATTTAATTAATGCATTTAATATTTTGGGTATGCAAATCAAATTAGCATTTAATTAGAGCATGTCCAAGAGACTTCTTATTTTAGAATTGGAGAAATAAGGAGTCATCCTATATCCATTTGCTTCCTATTTACTGTTGTTCTCCAAGAGTCTCCCTATTTTATAATTTGAATATGAACCAGACCCACAAATCTATCTAAAAGCCCACTTGAAGACCACTTGATATTGTAATTGTTAACGATTATAATAGTAATTAACTAATTTTATAATATTCACTAATTTTTTTAATTATTATAATTAGTAATTTATTATTAATTATTTTTTATAATTTTTCCTTTTAATATAATATTATTTCTTTTTAGATTATTATTATTATTATACTAATTTTTATTATAATTTATTAATTTTTAATCAAATAAATTATTTTTTTTGAACAATTTTTATTTTTTTAATTTTTTAATTTTAATTATTATTATTAGTAATTTATTATTAATTATTTTTTATATTTTTTCATGTATTAATATAATATTATTTCTTTTTAAATTATTATTATTCTTATTATTATTATTATTTGAAATGGGGGGTCGTTTTTCCCTCCCCAGAAATGAGGAAGAAAAGCCTCTATTTGAGGTCACCCTAAGAATAGGACCAAGTTTAGGGGAACTGTTGGAGACAGTTTTTGAGAGAAAATCCCTTTTTTTGAGATAAAAAAGAGAAATAGGGAGGCTCTTGGAGATGTTCTTAGTTCCTAAAATATTGGATATGCAATATTAACTTAGGAATATTCATGTAGTTCCTAAAATGTTGGTATACAACACGTAAAAGAAGATTTTTTATTTTTTTAAATGTAAAATATTGCAACACGTAAAACTATTCTAGTTATTTTTAATTTTATTTTACATATAAAATCTAATCAATATTTAATGCATCCTACAAAATTGGATTTAGTTTAATTCTCCACACAATTGGTTGTAACTTTTTCAGTTGTATTTTATTTATTTATTTATTTTACACTTTTAAATTAATGAAGCTCTCCGAAAATACCAAATCAAATGATTTATGAAAGTTCTTTTTTTTTTTTTTTACAATTTTAATTCTATATACCCAGCTCAAAAAACTCATAATATGGACGAGTTTAAGAAAATTTCATAACCCACCTTACAAAATTCTATCTCCACGAGTCAGAGTAAAAAAATATCTCTCATCTATCGTAACAACTTTAAAGCTAAATAAATAAAAGTCTAATTACTACTATAAATCCATTATCTGTTTAGATTTTTTTAAAATCTAAATTTCACCTGTCTAATTACTAATATTTTAGATACTTTTAAATATTATTTGTATAAATTTTTTTACACATTTGCTCTCTCTCTCTCTTTCTCTCTCTCTCTCTCTCTCTCTCTATATATATATATATATATATATATATTAGATGTTATAAAATATTTTAAGTATTTTTAATATTTATATATCACACTTACAAAGAATATTTTGCCAAAAAAAAAAACATTAAATACACATTGTAAATGTTAATAAAATCAGTCTTCAGTGTTCGTCTTTGATCTCAATTGCATAAAAAATTTCTTTTTATTTGTTCACATAATTTTTGGTGTGCATTAATCTCAATTTGTATTTGTAAAATTGATAGCTTTTGCATTAATTTCAATTTGTATTTGTAAAATTGATAAATTGTTAAACATACAAATTTTTTTTTATGGTAACAACTTAAAAAATGATAGCAATTTTTGAAATATTGTGTAGTCAAATTGTCATATGGAAGTAACATCACAATTACGGTATCTTATAAATCTTCTCTAAACAACTTTAGCATGAGATAATGTCTTTATTTAGGCTTATAATATTTTAGATACTTAAACAAAATGTTCAGACATATTTTTTTTTTTATATATTCTATCTATATGTACATATATATATACTCACATATACGTAATACATGTTAAATTAATTTTTTTTAGACATATTTTCTTTACAAAATAGTTTAAAAAAAATCTTATATGTACATCCTCCCTATATATAATTCCAGAATGTGCTGAGCCTAAGCCCGAGTTCTGGTGGCGCATCCCCTACACAAGCACCGCGTGGCTGCTTCTGGTGCTTCGTAATTTTATTTGGCGAAGAATCATGCTTCGTAATTAGGTTTGGATAAATAATATTGATATATTAATAATTAATAATCTAGGTTCGGGTATTCCATAAATATTATTTAGCTAATTTAGGTATTTTAATATCACTTTTACTAATATAACCCTTTAACTCTTTGTAATTTTACATAGTGAGACACTAAGTGACTAATATATCCCTGAATTTTGATTTGTTTCCTTCAATAAGCTATTGAATTATAAATGTATTTTAAAAGTTGATAACTTTTGTATTTCTCATCGGTTTTACATTTATAATATATCAAATTAATCATCTTTTGATGATCTTCGATTTGACATCCATATTGTATATATATGAAATAAAGAAATTATATTTATTTTTATAATAATAAAAAATAATAATATTTATTGAAATTCATTAGAAAAATAATATTATTTTTCAATT